CCCCGGGACCAGCTGGGCCTCGCCGCCACTTCCGCTTCCGCCCAGCCGCGGGGCAGCCTGGGACGCGTAGTTCCGGCGGCGGGGGCGGGTGTGACGTCAAGGGGGCGCCGGAAGTGCGGCGGCGGGTCGTCCGCTTTCAGGTTCCCCCGCCCGGACCGGCCCACCCCACTTCGGGGCGGTGCTGCTGCTGCACCAGGGGCCCGGGGGAGCGTGGAGACGCGGCCCTAGGGACCCGGCCCTGGCGCCGCCGGCCGTCCAGCTGTCCGGGGGAGGCCGTCTGTGCCCGGGGCCTGCGGAGCTGTTCCGCGCTGCTCCCCAGCTCGCGTCTCACGGGGCGGTGTCGGCCCCCGGGCCGGGGGCTGGCTCGCTGAGCTCGGGCTCGGGTCCCTCTTGAAGCACCTTTGACCCTGGCTCCTGCCCCCGTGTTTGCATCGGTTGCCCCAGGACCCGGCCGGGCGCTCAGTGACCCCCTCCGAGTCCCCCCGCTGACCTCGGGGTTGGTGCTGCCGCTCGGGGCGCCGGGCCTGGCTTGAGGCTGCTCTGCAGGATCCTTCAGACGAGGATGATGTTGCTGCAGCAAGGGGTGCACGTGGCGCGAGCTCCTGCAGGAACTGCCTGCTCAGCGCCACGGTGGTTCTGCACCCATGGGACAAGCCTGGGCAGTGTGGGATCTCCTGGCTGCAGGTGATTAAGAACCGGTTAGTCACCTGGTGGGGACAGCACAGGTACTGACCCCAGCCTCCCTGGCGGGGTGGGCTAGGTCTCTTACAACCCTTCCCAGCTGTGCAATGTCAGCACCAGAGTCATGTGAGAAAGGAGACCTGGGCCGATTCCCTGCACACCCGGCTCCTCACACGGTGCACGAGGTCACCACATTTCCCTGTCGCTTGCTTTCACCCCACTGCCCTAGGCAGGGTCCTGGCCTCCCCTATGTAATCCCACCAGGAACTCCTCAAGGAAGGAGCCTTGTCTCCGTGCGCCTGCCCAACAGGGCCTGAGAAGAGCAGCCGGGTGCTACAGCAGCATAAATCATTTCATAAATGGTTGAGCAGGAGGGGATAGTCGAGGCCATCAAGTCCAGCCATTTAGTCCAGCTGGTGCCAGTGCCTCCTCTGATTTCAGGTTCTGTTATTGCCGTAACATTGCTGCCTGCAAAAGGTACATCTGGGGCACGTGTCTCCCCGGCCTCTTCCGTGAGGAGAGCTGAGGCATGCCTGGATCCTCCTTAACTGCTCCCTTTACCCATGGGCAGCCCAGCAGTATCAAAGAAGTGGGGAGCTGGAAGGGATGCACGGAGATCACATCGCATCCAGTCGGACCCCTGCCTGAGGCAGAATCGGCCCCATCCAGACCAGCCCAGACAAACCCCATGTCTGACCTCTGAGCCACACGACAACACAGTCACTCCTGACAGCTCCAGGCATCGCCCCTGCTCCAGGAAAGCAGGGGGTGCTGCGGCCACCGATGTTCTGCTTCTATTAAAAGTTAACATACAGTTGTCTCCGGCAGTCCCTTGCAGTTGAGGATGATTGTGTTCCATGATTTTCTTATCTGTGAATCTGAAGATGGCTGACGAGGCCAGTCCAGGTTTGACAGACCTGCAGTGTTTATGCTGCATGCTCAAGAGACCCTGGGCAGAGGCTGTGTCCCGCCTGCCGAGGAAGGCAAACACCCTGCACCCCAAACTGATCTGACCGGGGGCAAGATCCTCTAGCCAGGACTCTGCAAGGTTGGTTCCAGGAGGAGCATTGACACAGCCCAGTCCTCACCCCCAGCCTGGGCTTTACACAGGACCCAGCGCTGCTAGGAAAAGGGGAATAGACCCCTGACACTTGTGCCTCACACGGCAGCCAGCAAAGCCCAAAAGCCTGGGAAACACCAGACTCCTCAGCTCTGCCTTGCAGCCTGGGGACAGCCAGCAGGATCCACCCATCACCCCCTCTTGCTGCACTGCCGGAGCTCCCCTGTCCGTGTCCCCTGGACGAGCCTACCACAGCTGCTTTCTTCTGAGCTGGGTGTGGAGCTCTGCTTCCACCTGCTATCACAAGCAGGGTCCTCTGCAGTACCTACCTGCCGCAGGCTGTGGAGCTCTTTATCTCCCAGCAGTCTGTGGGGGGTGGGGGGGGCTTCCCTAGGCTTCAGAGGAACAGCAGTCCAGGGAGGCCTTCCTCCCAAATAAGCAAAGAGCTGCCAAGCTGGAAGAAGCAGCAACAGCTCTGAGGCCTGTGAAGGAGCCAGTAGCTGCTGAAACAGGTGGGTGCAGGGAGCCACTTGGAAGGACAGAGGCTTCTTGGGTGGGGGGCGAATGGCTGGTTCACATCTCCCTGCACCGCTGAGGCTGTTGGGAACATCCCTGCCCTGGACATGCTCTTCCTGGAAGCACTGAGTGGGAGAAGCACTGCTGGAGCAAAGGGATCATGCAGGAGGGAGCTCAGGGCCCAGGGTCCATCCAGGAGCTCTGGGAGGGTGAGGTGAGGTGAGGTGAGCAGCCACCCAGGAACCCACGGCTGCTCCACAGGGCTGAACGGCAGCAAGCCTCATACCTGTGTTTAGCCAAGGCCTGAGGGGGCTGGGGGCCAGCGCAACCACTGCAAACAGGCTAGCAGAATGCCCCGGGGGGCTCGGTGGGACCCAGCCCCGGGTTGGGCCCTGCTGGTTTCTGGGCATACTACCTGGTGAACAGGGGAAAGGGAAGGGGCTGACGTGCAGTCGACTCAGGCCCACGTCCTCAGGAGGCGAGACGCAGCGTGCTGCCACTCAGAGCCCCAAGTGCAAGAGGAGGATGAAGTGACCCGCGGCAGGGCCCTGGGTGGGAAGGAGCGTGAGCTGGGGCAGCAACTGCAGCAGAACAGATAAGGTTCTCTGGGCAAGTCAGGACCAGAGCCCCCGGCCAGCCTCCGGGCCTTACATGACCTGAATCAAGCTGGGGAAGGGACCTGGCATCTGCCAACACTGAAATGTGCCAGAGCAGTTACCAACCCTAATGAAGGGAACTTATTTGCCCGTTTATTTAGGGTGCACAGGGAGTGGATAGAGAAAACCAGGGAGCAGGTTCTAGGCACTTTGTTTCTTGTGATGGTGCAGGTTCATCTGGGCACAGGGGCAGCACTTGGGACCTATACCCCGCAGGGAGAAGCAGGAGCTGGGGTTGGAGAATGAGCAGGGCCATGGCCAATCTGCATGCGGACATGGAGGAGTCGGGGCAGGGGCGAGGGTGGGACGGGGTCCCTGGAGTAACAATGGGCTGGAAGAGGGAGGCCAGGGCGCCCGTTCTCCTGGCTCCGGGTGCAAGAGCAGCAGAAGTTGCTGGCATTCGCACACAGGCAGGCGAGGACATACAAGTAGCCAGGGGGGCCGAGTGCCGCAGACCGGAGGCGTGCAGACGCCGCGCACCGTCGCAGCTCCTGGCTCTGGATTCACACAGCCCCGGGCTGGAAAAGACCCCCTGAGCCCCCAGCACCAGCCACCCTGAGGCTGGGCAACACCCCGGTCCCGCCGCCGCCGGCTCCGGCTCCGGCTCCGGCTCCGGCTGCGGCTGCAGCCACGAGCCCCCGGCCCGGCGGTGCCCGCTTCCCGGGCTCCCGTGCCCTCGGGGTCCTCGTCC